CAAACAGAAACACAAACACCAACACAAACAGAAACACAAACACCAACACAAACACCAACACAAACAGAAACACAAACACCAACACAAACACAAACAGAAACACAAACACCAACACAAACAGAAACAGAAACACCAACACAAACAGAAACAGAAACACCAACACAAACAGAAACACAAACAGAAACACAAACAGAAACACAAACAGAAACACAAACAGAAACACAAACAGAAACACAAACACCAACACCAACACAAAGACAGAGCAGTTTTCAGACGCTCACAGGCTGCAGCCGGCCTGTAACAACATGTTTGTTGGGCCGGAGTATTTCCTGGAAGCAGCTCCAGGATGAGCTGTCAGAGTAAATTGCAGCATGCAGGTAGTCCATGATAGAACTCACCCACATTAAACACCCACAGCGCACCTGCACAGGTGCTGTAGGCAGAATCCAGCCGGCCTCCAAAGACGTACAGGAAGCCCTGAGAGGGTCAGAGGGGTTCATCGTTTCAGCAGCAGGAACGTTTCACAGCAGAAATATAAAACAATGCAGGTGTTTAGTACCTCGTGGGCCACCATAGAGTGTTCCTCCAGCTGTTCTGGTGCAGCATCACTGGTGCAGTTTAACTCTGTCCACTCGTCACACACTGAAACATCAACACAGCACACACACCTGACTGAACAGCTTTAATCTGTTTGTGTTTCAAGTGTCACATAAAGACTTTTAAAATCATTTTATTCTCCTCAGAACTCCTGCTCCTTCACCTCTGACCCACAGTGATGAAACACATCAGGTGGACCCACATCTGGAGAACCTGAGCAGCTGATGGTTGAGAGAAAACACACATTTGTGACTTTTTGATTTAAAAGTCTCTTACCCACGCTGTACTTCCAGAAGTCCCCCACGCCGCTGCTGTCTCTGCCCCCCAGGACGTAGACGTGTCCGCTGTAGCTGCAGCAGGCGTGTTTGTAGCGGTCACATGGAGACTGCTGGCTCTGAGGGAGCTGGGTCCACAGAGACGGGTTACTGTGACTCATGACGGGACATCCTCACCGGACCATGTTCTGGAAGGAGAAGAGTCCATGTTAGGACAAACATAAAGCACTAAAAATAAAAAATATATTCAGCAGGAAGGACTGTAATCTTTAGATCAGTGTTCCTGGTCATGAAACACCAAGCAGGAGGTCTTTACATGACCTTTACATGATCTTTACATGACCTTCACATGACCTTTACATGACCTTTACATGATCTCACATGTCAAAATAAATTTAAAAAGTTTGCATCTTTTTCATCAAATCCCATCCAGAGAACAAAAACAGCAGTTCGGTGAAATAAAGTGATTCTTGTGATTCTGTATCTTTTTTTCTCATCTGTTATTGGTCTGAGTGTTTCTTCTTCAGTGGGTCCATTYTCCAGACAAACTCCAACAAGGCTGTGTTTGGGGACCAAACGGGTACAGATGCTGATTCTGGGTGGGGGGTTGGGTTTACAGAGGTCAGGTTTATGCTGTAGAAATGAATAATGAACTGAAATCAATGCAAGGTCCCCAYGAGTACAGAAGTACAAACATGTGTGTGTCTGTGTGTTGGGGGTGGTGTTGGTAGTTACAGCCTGCAGGTTGTTCTGATGAGTCACCTGCACATAGTTGTAAAGTAACTAAGTACAAATATTTTGTTACTGTACTTAAGTAGAAATTTTGGGTATCTGT